ACATGGACATCTGATTTTATCACCACTCATATAAGCCGGATGTTCAAGTGCGAATTTAATAAACTCCTCAACTCCTTCAAGAAAATTTGATTGCATTCCGTACAATACCGCATGTTTATCATACATCCAAATTCTATTTTGTCTATACATTATGCCTGAATATTATAATAAAAAAATTATACAGGTTAAAAACTCTAAATTATAAACATTACCAACATATTATATATGTGGAGTATTATTAATATATTAAAATCAACTAATTCCCTAAAATTCCCTTAAAATTAACTAATTTCCGTAAATTTCACTAAATTTCACTAAAATTCCCTTAAAACTAACTAATTCCCTAAAATTCCCTTAAAATTAAATAATTCCCTTAAAATTAACTAATTCCCTTAAAATTAACTAGTTTCCTTAAATTTCACTAAAATTCACTAAAATTCCCTTAAAATTAAATAATTCCCTAAAATTCCCTTAAAATTAACTAATTCCCTTAAATTTCACTAAATTTCACTAAAATTCCCTTAAAATTAACTAATTCCCTAAAATTCCCTTAAAATTAAATAATTCCCTTAAAATTAACTAATTCCCTTAAAATTAACTAGTTTCCTTAAATTTCACTAAAATTCACTAAAATTACCTTAAAATCAACTAATTCCCTAAAATTCCCTTAAAATTAACTAATTCCCGTAAATTTCACTAAATTTCACTAAAATTCCCTTAAAATTAACTAATTCCCTAAAATTCCCTTAAAATTAAATAATTCCCTTAAAATTAACTAATTCCCTTAAAATTAACTAGTTTCCTTAAATTTCACTAAAATTCACTAAAATTCTCTTAAAATTAACTAAATCCCTAAAATTCCCTTAAAATTAACTAATTCCCGTAAATTTCACTAAATTTCACTAAAATCCCCTTAAAATTAACTAATTCCCTAAAATTCCCTTAAAATTAACTAGTTTCCTTAAATTTCACTAAAATTAACTAAAATTCCCTTAAAATTAACTAATTCCCTAAAATTAAATAATTCCCTTAAATTTCACTAAATTTCACTAAAATTTCCTTAAAATTAACTAATTCCCTAAAATTCCCTTAAAATTAACTAATTCCCTAAAATTAACTAACTCCCTTAAAATTAACTAGTTTCCTTAAATTTCACTAAAATTCACTTAAAATTAACTAATTCCCTAAAATTCCCTTAAAATTAACTAGTTTCCTTAAATTTCACTAAAATTCACTAAAATTCACTTAAAATTAACTAATTCCCTAAAGTTCCCTTAAAATTAACTAATTCCCTTAAAATTAACTAATTGCCTAAAATTTCACTAAAATTCACTAAAATTCACTAAAATCCCATTAAAATTAACTAACGTCCAATAATTAATATTATTAAACTATAAACATGCACAATACGTTAATGACATTAATTTAATACACAATACTAAAATTATCAACATCTTAATCTTATTAATAGTGCACATTTAACAATTTACGTACTAATCTAAATAATATGAGCAAATTCAATAATTTGAGCATATATATATATATATAATAAACACATTTAAATTAAATTAACTAACCCTAATTTAAATCATTATTAATCCTAAATTAGGCCGCCTTAATTAACAATAATTGCCAATATAAAGAAATCATATACTTATATTTAATTATATATATATATATATATATATATATAAAGTCATTTGAATTAAATAATACTTACATTTATTAACTAATATTAATAATATGCATTTAAATTATATTTAATCATATATACTTACATACGTATTTAACTAATTTACGTAATTTTAATCCTATATTTTAAAATTAATAACATATGTATTGCCAATATTATATTTAATAATATACTTACATATGTATTTATTAACAAATTTACATATTTAACTAATTTATAAAAAATACGTAATTCAAATTACATACCTTATCTGCATAAACAGGAAAAATGATATGAGATGGGTAGATTACATCCTTCAATTCTATCTGGAATTCTATCTGGAGTACGTAGAAGGTGTGATTTTGTTGAAGGAAGCCGAGACTGCATATATAAATTTTGTAGTCACGGACTTAGTCACGGATGTGTCCGTGACTACATATTTTTTGTACGAATTGTCGGTGCACTTTAAATTTGGAACGTTGAAAAAATCAATTTTGGACTTGTCACGGAATTAGTCACGGACACGTCCGTGACTAACTGTAGTCACGGTACTAGTCATGGACTTGTCCGTGACTAATTTCAAATTTAAAAAAAATCCCGCCGGAGGCGAAAATGGGTTGGCCGGAACACTTTAGTCACGGACTAGGTCCGTCACTACCTCTAGTCACGGACGTAGTCACGGACAAATCCGTGACTACATTTTTTTTAACGGTTCCGTGACTACACCGTGATTAGAACCGTGACTCACTAGTCACGGACCAAATCCGTGACTACGGTCCGTGACTACAGGCGAATTTTTTTGTAGTGGAAATCAAAAGTTACGTGTTTAATTTGGTGAAAAAGTTGACTGATTAACCTGATAAGTTGAAAAACATGATCACTAAACGGGTTCTTAATAAAGTTGTACAAGTAATCTTAAGGGGGTATATTGTATTAGGAATTAGTGGCAAAATTTTAAAAGTACATGAATTTTAAAAGTTTAGGTTTATTCAAGTGGACTTTTAAAAGTCTACAAAAGTGTAAGTGTATTCAATGTAGAATTTTAAAAGTCTATAAAAGTCTAGGCTTATTCAAATTTCCGTTCATTCTTATTGACTTCTAAAACCACGGAATCTCGTCAACTTCTAACTCATGTTTAGTACATTAATTTTCTGCAATTGTCTCTTCTCCTTACCAAAGATTTTCGTGAACTTTTCTAGTTGTCTTCTACGCGTCACAATTACGCATACATCTGATTGCAGATTTGGCTAATTATTTACTCGATATCACAAACCGGTCAACAAGTCCTAGACTAGTACCGGCCGGGACGGAAGGTGGGTACCAAGATGGTCCAAGTATGCAAGATTTGAACATTAAATTTTGATTTTTTCTATCATTTTACGATAAATGAAGCTGAACAAGGAGATTCTACATTAATACCGATACACAAGATAAACTTATTTTTTTAATTTTTTTAAAAAATAAAAAGTAATATTTTATATCTCGTCTTACGAAGTAAAATGTAGGGGTGAGATCGGTACAGTTCTGGAACCATTAATCCCATGTCGATTCGGTTCTAGAAGTTCTTAGAAGAACCGATATAAGAATCAATAATATTACGTGAGTGCAATTCTGGTACGTTGTCGGTTAATCATTAAGAAAACACTTTAACTTTTAATGTGTTTTATTGTTAAACTATTAAAACATAAAAATATAATTTCAAATTACTAAATATTTAACCGTAAATAAGTATACAAAATTTAACAAGCTAAAAAAGAAAAGAAAACAATTATTAAGAAGAAAAGCTCGATTGCACCTATGCTTGTACTATATGTAGCAATGATTGTAATGCTTGTGTAATTAGGATGTTTTTACTTGGACTGTAATTTGCTGGTCTGGTCTGGTCTGGTCTGGTTTCTTTGTATTTTTATAACTATCCAAGTCTGGTCTGGTCTGGTCTGATCTGAACTGGCCTGGTTTGGTCTGGTCTGGTCAGGTCTGATCTGATCTAGGACGAATTACAGTCCAAGTAAAAACATCCTTAACAATGTTCTTACTTATTGAGTTGTGTAATATAACAATTAACCATAAATAGACGGAGACTATTGAACATTTTCAAAACTTTGAGTTTCTTTTTAATAAAAAGAAATTTGGATTCTTATACTTCATTTATTCTTGTAGAATTTTACGTTGCTAGATGAATTACATTTGTTTCATTTATTTATTTAATTATTTTTATCACATTACACATAGAAAATTACTTACCGACGGACAAAAACATAGCATTTCTTTGAAAGTATGATTATTTTTTTGTTTTTCCTTAAATAAGACTAAATATTACATTTCTAATCCTAATTTAATTAATTATTATAATTAATTGCCCCTATTTCCCTTGCATAATCAAGGTCATTTTTTGGTGGCAGATCAGTCTGATGATGACGACAGCAAACTCCACTGACGAAGGCGAACAGACAAACCAGTAGCGGTGATCTAGGTAAAAATTTCGACGACCGACAGTGACAGTCCGGATTTAAAAGTGTGGACTTTTTAAAAGTCTATATGCTTATCCGTGAATTTAAAAATCAATAGAACTCATTCATAAAAGTCCATGGATTAAAAAAGTCCACTACAATTCATATTCAATACACCCCTTAATGACGATTATGTTTTATTTAACAATGTACCAATTGTGACAATATGCGTATAATATTTTTGTCTAGGCTTGGACTCGGGTCGGGTGGCCCGACCCGAGACCGGTACTTTGCTGAACCGGCCCGGTGGTCCGGCCAGTGATCGATCCGGGTAGGCCCGACCCGGGGGGTTCCTGGTGCGGGCTCAGGTCACCCAAAAGCCTAACCGGCCCAGCTGGTTCGGCTCTGGTTCCAGGATTTTAATATTTTTTTTGTTTCAATTTTTTTAACCTTTTGGGGTTGGGTTGGATATTTTGGGCCATTTGGGGTAGTTTGGGAGGTTGGGATTGGGAGGGGGGTTAATTAGGAAAAGGAAAAAAAATTATAAAGAGGCCCGGCCCCGGTGGCTACCCAGGCCGGTCCCGAGCCCACCTATAATAACCCAGAGGCCCGACCGCGCCTAGGCCCGAACCGGGGCCGAGTCCAAGCATATTTTTGTCACATTTTTATGAATATGACGAAATTAATGAACGACATTTGTACAAATTAGAAGACATAAAACAAATGAGGAACTACCAAACAACCAATAATTTTTAATCAGAATATAGTCTTATATTAATTGAACGAAAACCATGGCTTCGTTTAAATTTCACACATTAAACAATACTCCGTAATAATAACAGCAAGGCATTTTATACTTTCTGTATAAAATTTATCCGACAAATGCCTACATTTTGAGGCTGATTTTTGTTGACAAAAAGCCTGTTCATTGGGAATGACTTTGCTTGCTGCACCAGACTTGAACATAATTAAATAATACTATAGTACATGATTACATATACATATAATACAAGACCAAACGAGATCTTAAAATTTAAACCCAAATGAACAAATCCTATGTGATCACAGAGGACTGAAATTGGCAAACAAAAACATCCATAGCCATGGACTACAAGCAGAAAGAACGGGGACCAGAATGATAACAAAAGTCGACACACATGACTGTACTGACCTTGTCAAAAAATCAAGCACCAGCTTCACTTGAGCTGATCTGTTGCTGCAATTCGGCATTAGCCTTCCTCATGAACTCATCCCAACCACTTCCAGGACTTGTATCCATGTAATCCAGGGGAACAGCAGTCTTCAAACCAGGTCTCACCCCACACCGACTCTCCACAATTCTAAACTCAAACTCATTCCCACCTTCCTTTACTTCATCTTCCAATTCTCCCCAAGTAAAGAGTAGGGGCAATGTGAAAGCACCCCATGGGTTGAAATCTAATAGCTTGACACGTTGATCCCGTGTAACATAAACATCAAATGTGTAACATTCTGATTCAAATTTTTGCCTGACATTAGAAACGAAAAAACTTCTGATCGTCCGTTGTAGCATGCTCTTCTCTTCAACGAGAGAAGGATAAAACATAGTGACCTCTCGTTGGGAGACCCCTACCAAAACATGATTTTTCACAAAGCAACGGAACTCCATATCAGGACGCAAAGAAGGGTACCATTTGCGAAGAGCAAGTACGAAGGTGTGAGGCCTGGAGACAGTCTTATCAATGCAGGAATCATATGCATGACAAAGATCGTGTACTAATGAGTCTGAGGATTTGAACAAAAGTGAAATCTCACTGAAAGATGAACATTTGAGGTTCCCAGTTAAACTAATCCAAGCAGAATCTTTAGGGGAGCTCCAATTAAGCTTAGGGAAGACAGAACCCCCAAGAGAATGGATTGATTCTTTAACCTTCATCTCAAGTTCTGGGAATGAAGGGGGTGATGCAGGCTTTTCAGATTCATCTTCAGTCTCTTCATAGTCATCTGCATCTTCTTCATTACAGACTCTATTGGGAAGGGCATTGTTGTCTTCTATGGAGAGCGGGAGAAGAAAGGGTCCCTTGTCATCTAAAAGGTAGTCTATGAAGCATTCAGGAAGGTGATGGATCTCTGTTTTTATGGAGACAAATTTGAACTTGGGGTACCACTCTTGGATCTGGCATCTGTTGACTTCACTTTCCTTCATCTCCACTTAATAATGAGGTTTCTGAAGAGTGTCAATGGTATAATTAGATAAAAAGGGTATTTTTGTTTTTAACAATATCAAAACAGTGAAACACAGAATGAAATAACTCAGTTGACTTGAGCCAATAAATCAAGCAAAAAGGACAACATATTATCTCTAGTCTTTTGAAAGAGAAAAAATGACTAGTTTTCCTTTTATTAAACCTGACTAACCTTTATTTAGTTAAGGGAAAAGGGTCATATGGACCCTTCTACTATTTTCAATCCATTGCTTAAGCTCTTTTACTAAAAAAAGAATCATATAAGTACATTTACTTTTAAAATAAAATTAATCAAGCCATTTTGACTTGATAAAGCAGGACATTTTTAAAAAAATAAATTAGGACTATTGATAAATCTTATAAAAATTCAAATATATTTGAAAAATAATGTAATAATATAAAAATAGTATAAATGTAAGCATCGATAAATAGTTCAAAATCATTAAAGTAAAAAAATAAAAAATAAGAAAACTAAAAAAATAAAGTGAAAATGTAAAAAATATAAAATAAAAAAGTAAAAAACTTTTAAATAGATGTAGAATATACAAATAATTTCAAAAACCTTTTAAATTTGGAAAAAAAGAGTTTTTGAAGGAATTATAATTAAAATCACCTTGAGATATGACAAATTCCAAAGCCCTCCAAAATCATCCCCTTCAATTTCTTAAACTCCCGGACATGAAAAAGAGGGTCATAAACCCCCCATAAACCTTCCACTCCCCCCAAAACCCAACTCCCAAACACACCCTAAAGAATATCACAACAGAAATTCAATCAATTCTTTCAGACATATTGCAAAACACATGAGCAAATCATACATTTTAGATGCTAAACCACCTTCTCTATCGCAAATCACTAACTTAATCCTCTAGTAATCTAATGGATGGAGATGCACATGCCCTTTAACATACTTTTAACAATTTCGTACTCCGTAATTGTTAAATACAATTATGATCAATTAAATTACTTATTAATAACTTCAATAAATAAATAACTAACATGGTAACAACTAACAACCTAATTACAGAGTAATTAGAATTTTTTATTTTTTAAACCCGGTGTTAGTGGATAAGGGCCGGGAATTAAAACAAGAACAGGTAGAGGACAAAAGCCAATACCTACCGGAATTAACAATGTACAGACTACAGATAACAAATAATTGCGTCAAACTTGCCAATGCCTACGAACTTACTATAAATTCAGAAGATCAAAAAGAGAAAATTCAGAAAGTTACCGAGGCGCAGAGGGGAGGGGAGCCGCAATCCGCAGAGGCGCAGAGGGGCTGAGAGCCTGAGACTGTGAGACCCAGAGGGGCTGAGCCAATGAGCCCGTGAGCCGCCTCTGAGGGCCGTAAGTCCGTCACTCCCGCGAGCCGCCGTCGAGGGCTGTGAGTCCGTCGTTAACTGGGTCGGCTAATTGGCTATGTCGCTTGGCGATTCTCTGGTTCTCTTCCAGCGTTGTTTCTCTTCCTTGACCTGGACTGCACCTGTAGTCCTGTATCATAGATTCATAGTACTACTAAAAAAAATGTTTGGGCCTTCAAAACTAATGGGCCGTCTGCGAGTGGGCTGATTGTCCATGCTTTGGGTCAGCCCTATTACATATTAACAAATGGGAATTTTTCGTAAATAGACTTAAAAGTGAAAATATTAGCATGAGGGAAAATTAGACTTAAAAGTTCGAAATTGAAATTTAATTAAAAAAAGGAAGTTAGATATTTAAAATAAATCCTAAAAATTAAAAAAAAAATAGAATTTAAAAATAAAAAAGTCAAAAGAAAATGGAAAAAAGTTAAAAAATAGTTTACCATGTGGGAAAATTATAAAAAGATACAATTTTTTGTAATGAAATTTTTTAAAGAGTTGGTATACTCCGTATTTTTGTTTAAAAAATATAAAATAGTCAAATATAAAAAACACGAAATCCTAAAAAAATAGAAAAGAATCAGAACATTTAAATGATTAATTTTTTTAAGAAAATTGAAAAAAAATTAAAAATATAATTTAAAAAAAACTAAAAATAAAAAATAAAAGACAAAAATTCAAAAATTAATAACTTTGGATTTGTTGTTTTTATCATTTCGTCATGTTCCTCGTTGATATTAATTAATTCAAAAATTATCGTTTTGGTGTCTGTGTGTCTAACTATATGTAGCAAATATAAACATAAAGCCAAATATCATGGAACACAAAAAACAACAAAAAATAACATAATGCAACAAAAAGTAACATGATGCAACAAAAAGCAACATGATGCAACAAAAAGCAACATGATGCAACAAAAAGCAACATAATGCAACAAAAAGCAACATAATGCAACAAAAGCAATATGACGCAACAAAAAAGAACATGATGCAACAAAAAGCAACATAATGCAACAAGATGCAACAAAAAACGACATAATGCAACAAAACCAACCTGTGTGATACAATAAAAAGCAACAAACAAATAATGCATAAAACTATAATATATAGTCCGCTCTTTTTTGAAAACATAGAAAAGGAATATATATAGTCCAATTTATCATTTGAGTTTATTACAATTATCTAGTACACCAATTGATCAAGTTTGTCTCCACTATCTTCACTTTCCTCATCAACCTTCTCAACCTTATATGTTCTTGTACCTTTTTTTAATATGTGCCTGCAATGAGAATGCAATCGTTATAGCATCCTAAATTGAATACAAATTATTACCAGGAACCAATACACATATATGACTGACTCATGCACCACAATATATTTCAACTACAACGTAAAGATACAGGAACAAAATAACGTAAAAATGAAAATTACCTCAACTCATCTATGAAGAGGTATAAACTTTACTACCCCAATCTTTCGAATAATATAAGAAACCGTAAAAACAAAGAACCTTGCATGTCACATACGTAGTACCATAAGTTACCCAAACTATGAACCACAACACATTCAAAGAAAAAGAAAACTTACACTACACTTTTATTACCTCTCTGCTTTCTGGATGAAGCAAAAAGCTACACAGTCAACAATATTGGCAATGAAGATAACAAATGAAGACCAAACAAATGAACCTTTGCTAATGAGAATATGTCAATGGTCAAAGCAGAAGAAATATAGAAAAAAGGAATTTATAAATGATCAAACAGTGGACCATATTTGAAAAACATTAAGAGAAACCATTCCAGGGACACCGGCTAACTCAACATTCAACTTGAAACCAACTGGAAACTAAAACTGTCAAGAAACATTATGATGGAGTATATGGGTTTAGGCCCCAGGACCCACATACTCAGAAGAACAGAAAGCACAGCCACTACGCAGTGCCCTCGTCGGCCAGAAGACCCTCGTCAGCCGGAAGGACCAACTCAGAATATGATCCTGAAGCCAAGGAACCAGGGGGTCCTCATCGGCCGAGTCCTCATCGGCCTTGCCCTCGTCGGCCAAGACCCTCGTCGGCCGTGGAAGTCTCACAGAACCGGATTTTACACTTATTCATTCATATAGCCCACTAGTGGCTCTGTATTCGGCCCAATAGCGGTCCAGTTGTAAATGGGCCTCCCAAGCCCAAGGCTTGGGAGCCGAGCCCGCACTTTTCCTATAAATACTTCCTCTGTAGGTAGTTATAGGGGTTACAAAATCATTCTATTGAAGCATTACTTGCACTTCTCTCTCTAGCTCTCACTTCTCTCTAGATATATACTCTATCATTTGGTGCTCTCATTGAGAGCTAGAACAATCAAGTTAGCACCCTTCGTCGCTACCAAGCACAACTAATCACTGATCATGGGAAGAACTAAGTCAAACCGCAACCTCGTCAGCAAGGCCATCCCTGAGGATCAGGAGACCAGGGAGCATGAGGAGGAAGCTACGGCCGACTAGGTCGGCGGAGGGGACGTCTTCCAGGAGGCCATCAACCTCACGACGGACCTCCGCAACCAACTCAACGGCGGAGCCCCTGATGCCTGCATCGGCCTAGACAAGAAACGAGCTGAGAAGACAGACCACAACCAGGCCCAGCCTATGGCCGCGGCTTCTCCGTCTGTGGATCCACAGGTCCAGGCCGCGCTGTCGGTCATCATCGCCAGCTTGGCCCAGAACCCCACCGTCCTCAGCGCACTCTTGCCAAGTACTGGGGGGAACGTCACTCCACCTCCTCAACCCCAACCGTTGGCCGTCAGGTTAGGCAACGATGAGGGGGTGATGGCCCAGGACACGACATCGTCCCACTCCCACCCCGCTTCCCCTCTTCGGCCTGGGCAGACCCCAGCGCGTGGAAAAGCCTCTGCCTTCAATAGGCTAGGTGACACGCGCCGTCGTCCGGTTTCGGAGAGGATGGCAGGGCGGATTGGTGAGCGTCGGCCTGGCTCGCCAAGGGAAAGCTTGGGGTCTGTGTCCCGGACAGCGGACCAGCCCCGCCTGGACAAGGGCAAGGGAAAGTTGCACGAGGACGACATGCGCCACCAGATAAATGCGGCCCACGACGTGCGCATGAAGAACCAGCAGGGCGCCGCTGCGGCCGCCAGGGACCCCCGGGACGAGGTCATCACCCAGTTGGAAAGGAGGCTGGCCCGGATGGAGGCCAGGCAATCGGCGAACATCCCCACGGCCGGCGCCTCCAACGACCCTGGCCTCAACGCTCTCATGAACAAGGTCACCGCCCTTGAAAGGGAGTTGGCCGAAGGGTGAGGTGACCCCGTCATCCAGGTCAGGACCAAGACCCCGTTCACCGACAGGGTACTCTCGGCCCCTATCCCGGAGAAGTACAGGGGGAACGCCATCAAGTCCTAAGATGGCCGATCAAACCCCCAAGAGCACTTCAGCCGCTATCGGAACAACATGCTGATGGTGAACGTGTCGGATGAATATCTCTGCCGTTGGTTCCTCTCTACTCTTGAGGGGCCAGCGTATGAGTGGTTCAATGCGCTCCCCGAAGGAAGTATTGACTCATGGCAAGACCTTGCCCAGCGCTTCCTCACCCATTTTGCTAGGAGGAAGCGTGCGAAGAAGTATTTCACCCATCTCCTCCCCATCAAGCAGCAACATGACGAACCCCTCCGGTCATTCATTGATCGGTGGACGAGGGAGACCGAAGAAGTTGAGGGGGCCGATGAGCGCACCCTCCTCGTCCTTTACCAGGGAGCCCTCCGTGGCTCCCCGTACGCCAGGAGCCTCATCACCGACCCTCCAAGGTCGTACGCAAAGGCGCTCCAGCGCGGGAGCTTGTACGCTGACGCCGACGAGCTCCACAACCACAAGAAAGAGGGAGGCAATCCCTCCAAGAAGACAAATCCTTCGCCGGCCCCGGGACCATCCCCGACTGGCCAGGGTGCCCAGGGCCGTCACGGCTCTGGTGGACAGAGCAAGAAAGACCGCCACTGGCGGCCGAGGTTGGAACGGCCGGGGGTCCCCCTCACCCACTCGGTCAGCACCATCCTCGACTACGCCGAGAAGCATGGCCTCATTGAGCAGGCTCCTCGGCCGGCCAAGGAGGTCCTTGCCATCCAGCAGAGCGACACATACTGCCGGTTTCACAAGAACTCATCGCACAACACCGATGACTGCATCACGCTAAAAAAAGCCATCGAGCGCCTTATTCGTCAGGGGGAACTCTCCCAATTTGTTAAAGGTGGCCCACGCAAAAATACGTGGGTAAACACCGGCAAACCTGGGGGCGAATCCTCTACGAAGAAGCGGGAGATCGGCAGGCTCAGCGACGACGAGGACTTTGAAGAGCCTCCGCCAAAGAAGAATCATATTCACCTCATTATGGGTGGGAACACCGGGGGGGACTCCATCACCCAGAGGAAGAAATGGGCCCAATCCCTTTACATTGGGGAGGTGTCCCACGTTCCCCCCAGTCGAAGAAGCAGCGAACGGAGGCGATCACCTTCACCGACAAAGATCTGCCTCCGGGTACGGAATCACATAGGGACGCCCTCGTCATCCGGTGTGAGATCGGTGACTCCATCATCCACCGCACTTACATCGATACGGGGAGCTCCGTCAACGTGATGTACCTGGACACCTTCAGGCAGCTGAAGCTGGACAAAGCTCTGCTGAAGCCGATCAAGACACCGTTGTCCGGCTTCACCGGGGACTCTATCGACGCTGAGGGCACGATAGTCCTCCCTGTGGAGGTCGGCGACGGCCCCCACCGCGCCAAAATTGACATGGAGTTCATGGTGGTCAACCTCCAGTGCGCCCACAACCTGATCTTGGGGCGGCCAGCACTGGAGGACTTGGAGGCCATCATCTCGATGAAGCACTTGTGTCTGAAGTTCCCCGCCAATGGCGGCATCGGCTACGCCAGAGGAAACCAGAGGATAGCCAGAGCATGCTACCTCAAACTAACGAGGCCGGCCGAAAGGGAAGGACAGAGGATAGACACCATCACGGCAGCTGTTGCCAAGGACGAGGAGAGGCCACATGCCGAACCGGCCGAGGAGGTCGAGGAAGTCCCTCTGGATACCTCCCGGCCGGAGCGGGTC